CGTCGGACAATTCATAAAATAATACTTTTTAAAAATCAAACGGTTTAGCCGCAAACTTTCGTGCCGTATAGCGTGAATAACCCTGTATAAAAAAAATTTCAGATTGTTTTCGCAATAAAAATGCTTGTGGTATACTTGATAACGCAATGCGATGGTTTCTGGTATTTTTTAAATACATAATGATGAATAAAAAGAATAAAATGAAGAAGCAAATCTAAAGCTTCTGAAATAATACACATATATGTAGTTAATGTTCAAGTTAATCCGGAAACAGTTTCACAAAACAGCAGTTACTATTTCCATAATTATATCAAACAATCCAAACCGAGCGTAAAATGTATCTCTACAAAACACGAAGAATATAACTTTTATTACGTGGCGCTCATAATTAAACTTTCGTAAACTCCACCATTTTTTTTTCTCAACAATAAAGCCATTTTACGTTGCATTAACTGCTTGTAGAATAAATGTTGACCAATATAAAAACTAGATAAAGCGAATATAACATGTTGGATCTCATAAACCCAGTTGATCGCTGAAAATAGCGCAAAATGAACTCGAACACGAACAACACTGAGAATGTCATTTTATGACCTTATCATTAAGGCGTTAGCAGAAAATAGGTGGAATTGCTAATAACATACTAGCAAATCATGCAAGTTTTAAAGAAATGCTTGGTAAATTATAATAAAATTATATTGCAAACTATTATCAGATGGGTCAATATTGAAACAAAATTTTATTCCAACTAGATAAAACAGTCAATTTCATAGTTATTAAAGTACCAAAGACGATAACAACGAAAAAGGGCCCTAGTTTGATAATATACAATCTGACGACTTCTGGCCTGAATAAATTCAAAATCGAACGTGGGCGGTTAGCACATTATATGGAGCTTTTAGCGTTTTAAGCTCTTGAGAACTTGTATGCAGTTCAGACCTATTCGAGAAATTTTCTTCAAATCGAAAAACTTTTTAAGGCTTTTACATCTAAAACTCATATAACCAGGCAAATAAAATTGACTCAAACAGGAAGCACGATCTCAAGAAATGATAGTACCCAAAGCATCAAAAACATTTGATGCAATTATGCATAAGGAGCGAAACAACAGATTAACCGAGATCATAATTTGATTGTTTGATCTTATTTATTAAATTATTTGCATATTTTAGTGCTTAATATCATTGCTTTCATGCCAAGGATGGCACATTTATACGATAGAAGGAATAGGTGATTCCGACCAGAGACATGTTATACAGGAGAGATTAATTAAATTTAATGGAAGTCAATGCGGATTCTGTACTCCTGGAATGATAATGAATATGTATGCTCTACAACAAAGCGATTTCGAATTGAGTATGGCTGATGTTGAAAACTCATTCGGTGGTAAAGCTATCGGCTTTCAATTTTAATTTATTCAATACATTTTTTTCTCTCTTATATACTAGGCAATATTTGTCGCTGTACTGGGTATAGGCCAATCCTGTCAGCTTTTAAATCTCTATGTAAAGACGCGACTCCAGATCTGAAAGCATGCATTCGAGACATAGAAGATCTTAGCACAGATAATGATTTCAATTGCAGATCTAAGAATAATGAAGATCGAAATGAGATGAAATCTTCGCGAGGTGTTGAGGTGTAAGTTAATTAATATAACGAACAAAAGAAAACAAATATAGCACTATGTAATATGGTGTAAAGTTCATTTTGAGGCTTTGACAAAACTCAGCAAAGGCTGAAGTTTAGAAAGTTATATTAATTATTGCAATAAAGAGTTACTAGTTTAATTAATTCATAAAGGAAATATTGAGTAACTAATGTGGTATTGTAATGAGCGCAAAAATGTCGACTATAGTATCAAGCAAATATTGAAATATTTGATTTTCGTAATATTTAATTTATATTTCTATGCACTATCTAATTTTACAATAATAAGGTTTGCAAAACTAATTTCCGTTTAATAAAAATGTGAGCGTTTTTCCAAAAATGTTTTTGAATAAAAAATCCCGAAACATGCATATGTTATGTATTTATATCTAGTATAAACATAAATAATTCGTTTCCAGAAAGCCACCATTCCACTTTATGTTCCCGAGGGAGACCTGGATTAGGGTGTATGAGTTTAATGATCTACTACGAGTTATGAAAACTTTTAATGGCCCTCGAATTTGTACACTGGTAGCAGGAAATACGGCTAAAGGTCAGTTCAACCGGTAGGCGGTGAAAGTTGTAAAAAGTTTGGCAAATCTCTAGCGAGAATTGATGGGAATTAATATGCCAGAGTTACTTTGGAGTTTATTAAATTTGGTTTCGACGGGTGTGGACGTGGTTCGTGTTTCTTTTTAATCAAACGCGTACAAAAAGTTATTCAGTTTTGATTTCCACCCGCTGATCTTGGAGGGAAAAAATAACTTCGTACTTATTAAACCTTCCGCCATATTATTGAAGTATTATTTATTCGAATGATTTCTGCCTGATAAAATTATCCACCCCATTATTAGGCAGATTGTAGCACATCAAATTTACAGTAATGGCGGTTGTGCTCCGGACCATGAAAATCAATGTTATCCTTAGAAACCAACCAACTCGTTTGAGTCCATTCCATAAAGTTTAACAACAGTTTTTACTCAATTTTAGGGGTCTATAAACATAAAATTGTGGCTAATGTATACGTAGACATCTCGGTTATTGGAAAACTACGAGGGCATAAAATTAATGAAAACTTTTTGGCTCTTGGAGCTAATGTCACCCTTACAGATACTGCAAAGATATTTGAAAGAGAATCGGCGAAAAATGAACAATTTACATACTTGAAAGCCGTAGCTGAACATACTCAGCTGATAGCAACAGTGCCAATACGAAATGTAAGAAGTATTTGCCAATTTATTTAAACTGTACAAGTATCCTTTAAGAGCTTTTGTCGTTTCAATTAAAAAAATGTGTAATGATTTTTAAGACGATTTTTAAGATGATGCAATATAACTAAAACCAAACTAGCTTTTTATGAAATTCAATGAAACCAGATCTGGAATCGGTTTACACATTTCGTCAATAACACACAAAAGTAAAGTAAATTTTCATATTGTCAAATCTGTATAAGCGGATTTCCACTTTATATAATCGCTGTGCCATATTCCAGATTGGAACACTAGCAGGAAACCTAATGATTAAACATAACCATCGAGAATTTCCCTCAGATATATTTTTAGTGCTTGAAACTTGCAATGCAACGCTGGATATTGGTAAGTAGACTAGAAAATTATGGTAATTTTTGGAAAACGACAGAGGCGCCACCGAAATTGACATGAAAAGAATTGATTTGATAACTAGTTTTCGGTTTATTTCTGTTTTAATGTATCGCTAAAGGAAATACAAATCCTGACATAGTTGCGTGCGAAGTTTTGCTTCAAAATGTATAGCTCAATCTCTTTGTATTCTATTCTAGTTGATATTGAAGGCAACAAGCACCTGACTAGCCCACAGCAATTTCTAAAGCTGGATATGTCAAATAAAGTGATTCGAAAAATTTTGTTTCCAAAACTAAGCAACATGGAATATAAATATGGTAGCTATAAGGTAAAGGATAAAGACTTAAAAACCATAACAATACTGAAAAAAATTAAAAGTGTAGTTAAATGGCCAATTAATATTTATTTATAATCTTAGAATGTTTTGTCTTTTCCTTACTCCCCGTTTATTTTGAGCTTTTATTCCATTGCAAATATTCCAGATAATGCCACGGCATCAAAATGCTCACGCGTTGCAAAACGCCGGATTCCTTTTTCATTTCGAGCAAGAAAATAATAAACTTCGATCAGCGAGGATAGTTTATGGTCATGTTAACAAAAAGTTTGTTCACGCCTCAAAAACTGAACAATTCCTATCGGGAAAGTATATTTTCGATAATGGCGTTTTACAATCAGCGTTGAAGGTATTGGATGGAGAATTGGAGTGTGAAACTATTCTTCCGGAGGCACGACCAGACTTTAGGAAAGGATTAGCTATTTCGCTGTTTTACAAGGTTTGTTTGTTGTTGACTGATTGTTTTGAATCACGCGACCGATAAATAGAGAGAGGAAGAAACATGGAAAGCATTTACAAGAGGAGGCCGTAGATATAATTTGGTTATATGGCTAAAGAATCGCACCAGAATCTGCAAAGTTCCACAGTGTGAAAGTCAAGAAATACAAAAACTACCTAAAGTAGCATGATAATACGCGCACGTGTGATACGAAATAAATTCTCTAGTTATAAATTCTTATATTTTTGTTAAAAAAACGTTTATTAATTAAAGCTGTTACTGAAACAATTCAGCTGATACGTGACTTACAAACCATGCATTTTTTCTCTCAGAACACATTGATTGCAAATGCAGTTTTTTTTTAATTAGGATTTTATATAAACGTTTGAAAAACAGAACAAATTCTAGACGTTTACTAAAATATTAATACTTGGAATATAAAATCTTAAAAGCAAAAATGCATTAGCGCATTAATCAGCCGAAGATTCGAAAATTGCTAAAACTTCTTTGGTAAACAACATGACTGAACGAGTCGAAAGTTAGTTACAAAACTTCGGAAATGGATTGTATTAAGCCTACCTAAAGCCCACTTTAACCCCTACTGTTTTAGGTAAATCATAATATTCTTACAGTAATGTATTATTAAAATACAAATCAAAGACATAATTTTGAAAAATACATAAAAACTAGCAATGTTTGTTCGCATTTCAAACAAACCTTTGCTAGAAACGCAAAATCGGTCCTCCAAGAAACTAAATAATGTTTTATCCACATTTCAGTTTATTCTGAATATTGCGCCAAAAAAATGTGTTTCTCTCCCTAACCTAACTGGTGGATTGATGCTAAATAGACCAATTTCAAAAGCCGCTCAGGAATATGATACAAAAGAATGCATTTATCCTTTAGCTAGAGGCATTGCCAAAATCGAAGCGAAATATCAAGTAACTGGTGAGTAAATGTGTGGAGCATTCAAATCAAAAATAAAGGTGATCATAAGTATATTCAAAAGAGATAGACTTTCGAGGCCATTCCTTGAAACAAGTGGGTTTTTCGGGTTACCCCGAAAAACCCACTTGTTTCATAAGTATATTAGCACTCTTTAATGTCCATGTTCATAAAATTTGAAAAATAAATACAACTAATATATTTTTACCATACTTTTGAAATACATATAGCAGTTATAAATATATATTTTAGGAGAAGCTGAATACATTATGGATAAGCCGAATTATCCAAACCAACTTTACGCATCATTCGTAACAACAAAAGCCCGACCCAAAACTAAAATCCTCAATCTAGATGCCACAAAAGCCCTGGTAAGTGCTGTTATTAGACGCTTTCTAAAGAACTATGGAGTTATTCACGCTTCTTACTTTGCAATTAAAACAACAGAAACAACCTTAGATTCCTTCAAAGTTCGCCTTCATATAGCTGCTGTTTCAGAAAATTCCTGGCGTTGTGGCATTTTTTGACAAAGACTCAATACCGGGTAGAAATACCTTTACTCCATTAGAAATGGGACTGTTCTCCAGCGAGGAGAAATTATTTTGTTCTGATTCCATCGAATATTATTACCAGCCAGTCGGAATTATTGTTGCAATAACACACGATTTAGCCCAATCCGCTAGTGAAATGGTAGAAATTCGGTATGGAGCATCTGCAAAAAATGCTATTCTTTCGATCAACGATGCGTTAGAAAATGGCCAAAATAGAGTATCAAAAATCAGAGCTGTCAATACAGGTGCAGAAGGTAAGAAAGTGTAGGAGAGGCGCGAAAAAGTGGGAAAAAACTTGAAAGTTTCACGTTTCCCTAGAGCAAAAAGAGGAGACTAAGGAAATAACGGGAACATTCAGATTATCGGGGCAATATCATTATCACATGGAAACTCAATGTTGTAGTGCTGTTCCAAAAGAAGATGGGATCAATTTGTATCCTTCGAGCCAGTGGATCGACTTATCACAATGCGCGGCAGCCGCTGTGTTGAATATTCCGGCTAATAAGTACGTCATGAAACTTTAATAATCAATAGATTTAATTTTCATTAAAAACAAAGCCAAATATGTAATTTTTATTTAAAAAAGTTAGTAATATCACTATTCATTTCATTCATAAAAACCATTCAGAAAAACATACATATATTAAAGCAGATATAAATTAAAATTACATTAATAACGTCAGCGCTGGGTTTACTTATGGAAAGGTTTACTTCCAATGTTTTCATTTCAGTAACGCAATTTTTTTAGTTCCATTAACTGAAAATTACTTTTTGTAATAGCTTGAATATTTTAGAAAATGTGGGTTTATTTAATTATCGCAAAATAAACAATACACATGTGTTTGTAGTCAATGCCCCTATTGTTAACTGGAAACGATATTCGCATTTTGCAGTAAAATATAAATTCATAAATTATATTATTTTTGCCTCTCGTGTCACATTCGCATATTTTGTTCCCATTTTGTTGGAATACATACCATTCATTACGGGTAAAGCCATTAAAAATAAATTTACTATAATTCATAGTCCCACAAAAAGACACTGTTTACCGAAGCGTTTTGAAAAAAACAGTTGATTTGATAAAATGTGTAATAGAAACCAATTAAATTTGGTTGACATTATTTATTCAAGCAACATTATAGGGAACAAAAGCTAGGAATAATTGAAAACTAAACTAGAAATAACATAACCCCAGCGCAAAAAATTAACAGATGCAATGATTAAATTGTCAAAACATAAAAGAGCAATTTGGTAGTAACAAAGCCTAAAGTCATTTTCGAATTCCCAATTCCTGTATATCAGTTTTTAACTAAGTTAAGTGACCAAATAATAGTGTTTCCACTGCAATTAAACCAACTAAAAAATGAAACCACAAATTAAAAATTAAAGAGTCCAGAAACATTAACTATTAACCTGATGGTTGAAGAAAATGGAAAACATTTTTTTTCCAGGATCGACATATCAGTAAAACGGCTTGGAGGTGGCTTCGGAGCAAAGATAATTAGGAATAGCTTGATTTCAAGTTCAACTGCTTTGGCATGCTATTTACTAAAACAACCTGTTAAGATGTGGCTTCCATTGGAAAGCAATATGAATATTATAGGGAAGCGGTAAATAAAAACCCAATATCTCGGCGTTTGAATAAATCATTCTCTTTAACAGATATCCAGTACACAGTAAATACAAAGTTTGGGTAAATGATGAAGGGATTATTCAAAGTTTTGAAAACAACATTTATTTTGATCACGGTAATGCTAATAATGAGAATGTTGTTGAAGAATTCTTCGACATCTATTTTAAAACTTACAACACTAAGCTATGGAGAGCAGATTTTTGCGTCGTTCATACTGATAATCCTACAACATGTTACACCAGAGCACCGGGTAATTGGACGGAACTTTAAACTAAATTCAAAAACAGTCAGGTTATTTTTTATGCAGGATCAGCTGAAGCGCTAGCTATGGTTGAAGCAGTGATGGAACATACAGCCATGGAACTAGAAATGGATCCTTTAGAATTTAGATTGAAAAATCTGAATAAGGACGACTCAAAATTGATAGAGCACATTAATGACTTGCTTCAATGGGCTCAAATATATGAGCGAAAGTCCACAATACTGGAATTTAATAAAGTAAGTTGAAAATAAACGAGTGGGAATAATATAAAATACTTTCTCACTAATTTTTAGAATAACAGATGGAGAAAAAAAGGAATTTCTGTTGTCCCAATGACATATCCCTTTCACCTGATGCTTGGCTATGGAATTTTAGTATCCATATATCACATTGATGGATCAGTAGCCATTGCACATGGAGGAGTAGAAATAGGACAAGGAATAAACACCAAAGTAAGAAATGGAAAAATAAATTTGACAAATTTTGATAAATTTTTCTCTGAGAACCCATAATTCCGGACAAGCTAACCAAAAATGTGTTATCCCAAAATCCATTAAAAAAATAAAATGTTAACTAACCAGCAAAATTGAACTTCACCAATTAAAAAGTAGCGATCGCTAAGCTGAAAGCTGGCGATACAAAATATTACTAGTAAGAAAATCTTTACAGCAAACGTTTCAACTTTTAAGAGCCTGTTAGAACCTTGGATCAACAGCAAACTTTCGTGAAAATGAGAAACTAAAAGGTCAGTTTGTCACTTTAAGAATGAGGTCGAAAAGTTCTTCAATGTGAAACATTAGATGCTGCTAAACGGTAATTTGCCATTTAGCTGGAAGTTGTGTATTTGGTATCAAGTGAACAAATGTAAAATACACATTTAGACAAAGCAATGAGATAATTTTTGAAATGCGTAAAGTGCTAGCGGGAAATAAAATATTGACTTTTACTTTAACTAAAAAGCTAAAAATGACTAAACCAACACTTCAATAACCAGCTTAAATAAAGATTTAAAATAATGAATATTCAATGGAGAAAATATCTTCAGGTCTTTAGTAAAAATAAATTGTAGAATTTGTACATTTTATAGATTTTCAGACCGACAGAAATTAAAATTTTAAATTGGATTTTTCACTTTGCTGTCTCAGCTCAATAATGTCGTGAGCGTATTCAAATAAACAATGCAGCATGCAACCTATATGCTGATTTTTCTATTATTAGCCTTAGAATAAAAGAGAATATAAGGAATGTCAGCCATGCAATTTAAGCTCAGTTAAACTGTATTTCACGCGGAATGAGAGAAAGTAGGAGAATTTCCCGCATAGTCTTGTAAAGCTTATAGACGGTTTTCCCGTTTTAAACTTTTAATACTCAAATTTACATTAATATAAAGTACGGTGCAAAGCAGATTACGCAATAATAATGATTAATTTAAATAATATGAAAAGCGGATAATTTAAATATTGTAAGGAATTTCATAGAACGTCAGATGATACCTGTATCGAAAAGTTAAGGCTTTGTTTCAAGCAAATTGCAATGAAAACTTCCTTGTTGAATTTCACATTTATTTGTAAATACTTCAAATCGATGATGGCTTAATTAAATTTGTTTGATTTTTGTGTGTAAACTTGTTGGCTTCAAATATACAGGGTTGCTCATTAGTGTGTCAAAGTGCGATATCTCAGTAAATATGAACTTTAGAAGAAAATACTTCCTACAAAAGTTTTTGATTGGATTAAAATTACTCTTCAGTATCCGGGGTGGGTCATAAACGTGTGGTAGTTACCAATTATGGTTTTTTTAATTCGAATTTTCAAATCGGTCTTGTGGACCTCTAAGAGGACTAAACAAACTACGTGCTGACATATGTTAATTTACGAAAAGTTTCCAATAAACCGCCCAATGAGCAACTAAAATTGCATGTTTGTTAATCTCAATAACTTGGTTATTTCATATGAAACCCCCAATTTCTTTTCAAATTTTGGATTTATCGTGAACGTTTAAAGCTAGTTTATATAGGGTGTGGTAATCTTTAAACTTACCGTTTCTAAGTTATTCGGCAAAATTTATAAAATAGCTTAATTTTTGCTTGAATCAAGTCAACTGGGCACATGTCGACCATCAAAAGATGCATTCAATAAAAAACTTAATATTATAAATATATCATTCAATATATTTAAATAAAATTATTTTTATGTGACCCCATAGAAAAAAATCAAATTTTCTGTCTGCCGATCTACCTGCCCAATAAACGGGAGCGCCACGGCCTATCCATCTCCAAATTTTAAATTTAAATAGTGTCTCACATTCAAGGCAAAGTGTGCAGGGGCACCGTCATGCTGTAGCTACATATTTTGTAAGTAAAAGTTCAGGAAAACCATTTCGCAAAAAATACAAATGTGCTGCACCATTCAAGTATCCGTGAAAAAATGTGGCCCAAATCTAAAGTCACACATAATACTACCTCAAACATTTACAGTCACTGTCGCTGAGTATTAACTGACCTCATTAATTTTGAGTAAAACTCTGAGTGAAAATTGACTCGTCAGAAAATAATACATTTTGGCAAAAGTTAGGTGTTGCTCGTTCCATTTCCAAGCCCTATTGGCAAAATGTTCTCCTAATCTCCAAATCCGTAAGTTTTTCAGATAAAATTTTCAAAATAAATTTACATTAGAATTTCGAAATTCGAATTAGACGATAAATCCGAAAAGCGCAAATAAAGGGAGTTATTTTAAACCCATTTAAAAAACCATAGTTGGTTACTACCACACGTTTATAACGCACCTTATATATTGATATTGACCTTTATACTTGAAAATGATTTTAAAATTCGCATCTCAGAAACACGAAAAACCTTCGCGGGAGACATTTTCTTCTAAAATTCATATTTACTGAGATATCGCGCTTTGGCGCACTAATGAGCAACCCTGTATAAATTACATATTTATGTTTTCAGGTGGTTGAAGTGTGTGCCTATAAACTAGGAATATCGGTTGATCAAATCACAGTAAAACCTAGTAACAATTTAATAGCACCAAACGCATCAATGACCGGCGCTAGTTTAACCAGCGAAGCAGTTTGTTGGGTATCAGAATTTATTTCGTTAATATTCACACGTTCCAAATATTGGGGAAAGAGAGTAAAAAACTAAAAATGTTAATGCAAAACTAGCATATTCAAGTATTGATAAGCAGAAAATAAATAATTGGTTAAACGATCCTTGTGAGATATGCGGATTCTTACTGACAACAAAGAATTATTTTTAAATTCTATCAATTATTATTTAGAAATAAATGTTATTACAAATCTTCTGGGATAATTTATAAAGATAGTGACTCAGACCTCGACCTGAAAAACGTTTTTTTACGAAATGAAATGTATTCAAACCTTGAAAAAAGAGCATCTAAAATATATGTATTTACCAAATAGGGTAATAAGGGCATACAGCCCATCGATAAATCATAGAAATGTGTATGCATTGAAAAATACGGGCTACAAATTTCAAACAGCGTTTTGTGTGTTGACAAGGCTCGTTAAATATTCTCATTTTACACGCTTTTTGACGATTCACGTTCATTTAATGTTTAACGTTTTGCTCAATTTACTTAGATGCATCCACTGCCCAATATGACTGTTTCAATAAAATTTTTATTATAATTTTTTTGAATAATTCTTTTAAAAGCTGGTCGTTGCAACGAACATTAAAGACCTAACTTCACAAACAAGTATACAATTAGCAAAAAACAATTTTAGGGAGTTATAAAGGCTTGTGACACGCTGCTGAAAAGAATAGAGCCCATGAAAAAAATGTTTTCAAATGCATCATGGCGGGAACTGATTCAAAAGTGTCATCAGGAGTTTATAAATTTATGTGCAACTTCTATGTGAGTTTTTTTTTACTTTAATCAATTTAAACTGTTCTATTCTATTTTCATTGCCGTACATAAAAATGTAATTAAGGCGGAACTAAAAGTTAACACTTAATTTACTATTGCTTCTGAAGAGTTTTAAACATTTACATTAGTCAGACAAACCGACATTTGTTTAGGTGCCAAGGAGCGAAGGAAGAAGATTTGCAGCCTTACAATGTTTACGGAGTATGTGCATCGGAAATTGAACTCGATGTTCTTACTGGCCAATATCAAATTACAAGAGTAGATCTATTGGAAGATGTTGGTGACAGTATGAATCCTGGAATCGATATAGGGCAGGTGGAAGGTGCTTTTGCAATGGGTTTAGGTAAAAATCAAATTTCCGGAGCAAAAAGTTGTTCAAACTATAAAAATTTGCAAGAGAGCAGGACGCAATCTAATCCTTAAAAATGAGTACTGTCCAAACCAGAATATAAAAAATAGTTTATGTTATTAAGTTTAAACATTTTACATTCCGAAATGCAATGAAACAGTTGCATAAGAAAATGTCTGTGAATTCATAAAAGTTCGCCAAATATGAGGCGAAACTTTGGCACAACTTTAATTAATTGCTGTGCTTGTGTTTTAAATGTTAAAAGTCGTAGATAAGTAGGATGCACTATCTTTTGCATCAAAAAGTATAATAGTGATCAGTCATTAAACATCCCGTAAGTCAATTGAACATAAAAACGCCATTGTTTTCGTCGCCAAAAAAAGTTTTTCCAACAAGTTTTGATACTCGCCTTGTTTAGTCTACCTTTTTGTTTCGAATATTACTTAGAGACGAACGTTACCTTCTAGTGACTGACTATCCGAGCACGTGGCTCGCATTCATTTTAGTTAAGACAACTGCTTAGTGTAGCTTTTTAGGGTGGTTTGCGTAAATTGAGTTAAGCAATTATTTGCTAAAGATCTAGCTGCGGCACCAAAAAGGTTTCATTTAATTCTAGGATACTTTTGTACCGAACAAATTATCACCGATGAAGATGGGAAAATTTTGACTAACCGAACATGGAATTACAAACCTCCAGGTGCCAAGGATATTCCAATCGATTTTCGTATAAAATTTCCTAAGAAAATTCCGAATAAAGTTGGTGTGCTTAAATCAAAAGGTATGATCTTGCACTGGAGAAGCATCAATCTTCTTAAGGCACCAGAGGAATATTTTAAATAAAATTGAAAAATGAATCACAGAATGGTCGATTTGTTTTTAATTTAAATGTTGATTTTTTATTTATTGTAAAACAGTAAAACATTGCATACAATCCGCAGCTGTAGGTGAGCCACCCTTCTGTCTAGCTGTTTCAGTACCATTAGCGATTAGGCACGCTGTAGCTTCTGGAAGAACCGAATTTGCCCCGACATTAAATAAATGGTATCCAATTGGTAAGTATGTCTAATCTGTTTTCCGTTTAACTTCAATTAATTGCCACCTTCTGTTAATTATATTAACGTAATGCATGCTCATGAAATATTTCGAAATTTGCAACATATTTCATAAACATTAATCTTTTTGTCGTTTTTTATGTTCTTAGTCTGACGTAAAACAGTACGAAATACAATCCTATTTTTATTCCTTTTAGATGGAGCTTCAACTGTAGAAAATACGTATTTAAATTGTCAACATGGCATTATTTCATACAACTTATAGTCAACTAGTTTATATGTAAATAGTAATGAAATTGTTTAAAATGTATAGTAAAATTGCAATGTTCAACAAATGCGTTTAGTTCTTTATCTATCAGCTAGTGAAAGTATTTTTTAAGTCCTGTGTATTTTGATTTCTTACTCTTCTAGTTTTTCAGTTATATTTTAATATTTTATAGTAGATATAATACATATTTTAAATTGGGAAAAGTACTTCTTCCCAAGCTTAATCTAACGAACATGTAAAACAACGTTTTCGATTAAAAGTGCATTAATTTCTATTAAGTTATATTTTATTTCTGTTAAAAGTAAATTTTTAAATATCTGTTTCCACATATGCACTTCAATAATGAATTTGTAAAATCTTCAAAATGTATTTAACAATAAGTGACCTTAGATAGAGAAAATACTTTAAGTTGCTATTTTTTTAAAGACAGTAACGTAATTGAAAATTTTAAACTGTTCTGAAGTGTAGTCATAAAATGTAGAACGGTTTTCTTAAAGCTGCACAAAACCTTGAACCGTACCTGGATGCTAAGAAAGGTATTCAAAATGTGTTAAATATTCCTTCAATTGCCCTCATCCTTTACGCTTTAATACATACTGTGATAAGGGACAGTTTACCTGGCTGAAGATCCTCGTCCTTAGTGATCTGTGGCATTTAGAAACGCAGGGCAAAGTTTACAAATAATGCATTTAGAACATTTAGCTGGCTTTAAGATTGATGCTAAATAGAAACAAAGGAGCGTGTTTAGTTAAATACATATTTTTGCATCGTGGTGACATTTTGCCTTTATAAAAATGGATAACCTGTTCGATGATTTTGCGAAGTTTGGTGCAGGTAAATACTTAAATACCATATTTTTATTAGAAATAATCGTGTTTCAAAGTTGTAGAAACAATTGACACCCGATATACATTGGCAGTAGCCACAATTTAACAAAACTCTTCAATTTAAACAAGAATATTTGAGTGTAGCAGTAGTGTTTCACAATCTGGAAACAGATTTACAATATGTTAAATTTTATTATACACATAAAAATAGTGTCGCCGATATTCTGAACCCAAAACTATATTTTACAATAGCGCTCAATTTAATAGCTTAAAAATCTCAAATACGTTTGCTCTTTGCAGCTTCTGAAAAAAAAGTGTCCTGTTTTTGCGCACCTCTATGTCCAAATGGCGAATCGCGCGGAACATGCGAGACGAAACCTGGCGGAAAATGTTTTACCGCGACGGAAAAAATAATAGAATATGGAAACGAAAAATTGAATGTAGAATATGGTTGCTTACCACCAGATGCAATGTCATTGTTACAGGTTTGTAGGGAACTGTAGGGTTTGTTCAGAAACTTATTTAATGCAAAGCAATTGCAATTTAGTTTAATTTGGAACTTTTTTATTTCAGTGCAATATAGTGGCAAAAGTACACAACAATACTGGCAAGGGCGTAGAATGTTGCAACACTCACGATTACTGTAACAACTTTCTTCTGCCCTCCACTCCGCACGCAAAATCAACAGACAGATCGACAAATATTAACTTACATATTTTCCTTGCATCGACTGTGATTTCTTTAATTGGAGTTATTATCATCGTAATCTATTTTATTAAGAAAAAGTTACGATATGAGGAGGTGGATCTTGAAAATGGGATACCTGAAGTAGAAAATATAACTGGAAGAGAAGCAGTGGTTGTCTCATTCAGCGTAGAAAATTCATGGAGAACGAGAACGATCATACATGATATAGAATTTGATACCCAAATTGCAAAAGGTAACTATAATTATAGTCCTGCACTTTTAAAAGCATCAAGATCTGGATTCCACAGATCGTCTATTTCTTCTAAGGAGTGTAATTTTTGATATTATTTTATGTATTTCGTCACCTAATAATAGGAACCCATGCAACATAGTTGTTGAAAGGAAGGTTAAAAGGCAACAAATTATGCGAAAAACTAACGCAAAATGGTTCAGTTATACTTTCTAGCTTTTATTTCTAAATGATTCTGATTTATTTTCCTGACTGCGTGTACTTGTTATAATATTCCTATCTTTCCTGGGTCTCAGTCAAAGTGTGAAGTCAAAATTTTGAAACATAGTTTATTTCATTACGTTTCGGCGAGACAACAACGCCATCATCAGATTTAAAATTATAAATAAAATAAACTGAATGAATTTTGGTACAAGTCCTAAGTTCTTGCATCTAGTCAAAAAACATTTTCGGTTCTTCTCGCTCGCCAGTTTAGCCCTCAGCCTTAAGTACTCTTTCACCATGGTGCATTCCATCTGCCCAACAATGCTATCAATTCCCAGCATTCTTCTTTATTCTGATTTATTTTCCTGACGTACGCAGTCAGGACACATGAAACAGATGGAATGCACCATGGGGAAAGAGTACATAAGGCTGAGGGCTAAACTGGCGAGAGAGAAGAACCGAAAATGTAGTGTGATGTGAATGTGAAAATGTGAGACCCAGGAAAGATAGGAATTTCTAAATGGTGACTTGACTCTTCTCTAAATGAATATTTACTAATATTGAAAATATAATAGAATTTTCAAAAATATAAATGCAGGTCGCTAGCATAGTTGTACTTTTTGTGCCATTTGCTCAGAGAACTAGGAGGATTTGAAAACTAATTTTTTACCTTTAGAAAAATAGGTGCCGTATCACGTTTCTTCCTATACGAATGTTCTCAATTTCTTCTCAAACGCTTAGCCTTTAAAACCCTTCTACAGAAATGCCCTGTATAATATGCTTGAAAATAAAGCAGGAATCGTCTGTTGAAGATCTCAAGAAAGGCATCAATTCCCTCAGTCTTCGGTACTCAGTATAAGATTCATTTTCACACCGCATTAACGCTTGAAAGTTATTAATCAATCATCAATTATCAATTTAATAAGCTTGCTGTACAAAGCTCTCTAGCAATGACAATTGAAAATTATTTTTAAATATGCAGGAAAATTTACTGAAATATGGCGAGGCACTTGGAGGGGCGATCCGGTTGCTATCAAGATCTATAACAAAGACGCAGAAAAAGAATGGAAGAACGAAGTTGACATATTTCAAACTCCCTTACTAAAGCACGATTGCATATTGGCTTATATTGCGTCTACGATATCAGGTAAGATCAAAATAGAACAAATCAAAAAAATAAAAATAATAACGTATTTCAGATGACAAAAAAATGCACATTATCACCGCTTATCACAGTGCAGGCTCCTTAAGACGTTTCCTCAACACCAACACGGTTAATCAATCGGAACTGATAGAAATGATCACCGGATTAGCTAGTGCTCTCAATTTCTTACACATGGAAATGCTTGCCTTAAAGACTAAACCACGCGTTGCACACAATAATATAAACAGTTCCAGTATTTTGGTAATGGAAAATAAACGGTGTTGCTTCAGTGATCTTTCCCAAGCAAAGAATTTTTCAGTTGTTAGTAAAGATAACAGTATCGAGTATATGAATTCAGACATTCGTTATTTAGCTCCGGAATATTTGAACAAAAGCTTTGACCCACTGACTGATGAATCGTTTATGAAAGCGGACATCTACAGCTTTTCTCTTATCATCTGGGAAATTATGAATAGATGCGAAGACGCTCTGGGAATCGTTAACACAACTTACACAATTCCATACGACGACGAATTGAAGAGCAATAATTTAGAACTATCTCTGAACAGTATGCAGGAAATTGTAGTATCCAGGAACATCAGGCCGCACATAAATAGCGAATGGGCCCAAAATGTTGGATTGAAGGAACTTATAAAAATAATGTTGGAATGTTGGAACCAGGACTCGTCCGTAAGGTTCACTAGCTTAAGGCTTAAAAAAAACATTCTAAAAATTGAAAGACAAAATTGTGAAAGAAAAACTGATTAATAAAACTAAAGCAATACCAACAGAAATAGTAATATATTAAATATATTATACTTTACATAGGTATGTATTCTAACAGTACGTGACAAAAGGTTGAAAAAAATCGAAATAAAAAATAAATTATGCACAAATAGTTTAGTTTATGTTTGTATTCATTTTACGGTGTTGTGCGTGTTTATTAGTTTAATTATCAACAGATTAGGAATATTTTCGACTTACCTTGACCTGCCATGCCATGGAACAAATATGTACAAATATTAAATTTGTATATAAATATTTTTATAATATTTGTTTGATGTTTTTTAATTTAATTTTTAAAACTATGTAATTTTAAAAAAATGTTGAATTTGTATACCGTTTTTTGAATTTAATGTATATTTTAAAAAATCTTTTAAATATACATATAAATTTCACATATACGACCAGCTTTGAATATTATTGATGCATCGATCTTTCACCAATTGTCTCTCCACTGATTTGCCTATGTGTGTCCAAAGCTCAAAACCATCGCTTACTGGTTGTAGAGATATTAGCTATAATTTATTAAAATCGCCGCAGGCTCCATACATACTAATTCTCCCAAGAAAATTTAATTTAGATTACTTCCGCTTGTAGAATTATACTAAGCCGCAATCCGAAAGCGATTCTTCAAAATGTCCGTAGAGCGATTTTATGTTCGAATCTAAACTAAACAAATCACTTAAGTTGATTAACTAATTTGCCTTGACTGGGACAATCCAACTTAATAAAGTTTAAGAAAATTTGATTGATGCAGTTTTAAGGGAAATGTCACAAATATTTGGAGGATGGAAAATGAATATTTATGAATTGACTTTATTTTGTCATATATTTTATTAGTTGTTCTGCAAATTAAACTGTTGCTGATCTTTTTGCAGCAGTTTACTAGTTTACTTTCTCTTACTATTTTATTACATATATACACCCCTAAACCATTTATTAAATGTAAATATCGATTAGTACCTTTGTTAAATTTTGGTTGTTATTGTTTATATTTATATGCTCGGTAAATCAAAATAATTGCTCGCTCTGTACCATAGACTTTACATTATCAAATTAGTTTTAAATAATTACCATTTAACTTCAAATCTTCAATGCCTAAATAAAAATCTCAATTTTTTGTTTCCATCATTCCAAACCGGAGGAATGTATTTTTAAACAGTTATTCCATCTCGTCTTCCTAAATCATTCCAAATAAAGCAAACCGTTTTCCGCTCTGCCAATTAATAAGAAAAAGTCTGGAGGAGACGAATAAATCTGAACAGGAAAAAGTCGAGCTGGGGGAAATGCCAGGTTGCATAAAAACAAACTTGTGCATTATTTGGAGGCATTAGTTTGAAAAACGATTAGTCCTTAATCATTTTTTTGTGCGCTGCTATGGTCTGATTGTCCAGCGCCATCAAAATAAGTCAATATCTAAATGCAGGTAATTTAAAAGTGTACAAAAACGTGAATTTGATTATTATTGGCATTTCAGAAGTAGTAATTAAGAGGCAAAGTGAAAGTACCTATACTATTCAACCGCTGTTGCTTTTTGGAAAACCTATAAACAGCTAACATAGATAAATACATATTGCGTCGCGAACTAATATAACTAGATTTCCATCAAGGATTGCGAATGCCGAAATTGGCAACATTTTGCAATAATGGAAACTAATCCAGCTTATTCATAAAATACAAATATCCGTTTGAGCCATTGAAATTCTCTCCGAGTCAAAAATATTGAAATTATCTGAGCAAATATTGCAACATTGCTGCTCTTTCAAGTATAAAACTGAATTTTCTTTCATAAAGTTGCTCGCTAGACACCAAGCCATATCAAATTCGAGCAGCAAGATGTTATATTTCGATTTTCATACTGCCATTTAGATATGAAACGGAAAAACTATTGAGCAGAACAATGTAGAGAAAAGTTTTCGAGTGTTTCTTATCATAGCAGATAAAGACAAAAGTTGAACAAGTTTCGTAGAACGCGATGAAGATAAAGTGATTTGAAATAGCGGAGTCGTTCTGATATCCCATATACCATTGAATATATTCGTCTTTTCGTTTTCGAAACCTTCAAACTTAGTTCATATCAAATAATCAAAGAAGTGTGAATCTATACTAAGAAATGATGCTTCTGTAAGAATGTGTGTTAATTTAAATTTGTATTAAACAAATTAATAACAAACCTGAGTAGTCATTTACAATAAATTGTAATATAACATCTCACACCCACACCGGTCGGTCGAATCAATGGAATTAATTTACCTTTACGTCTTGAAACCGTTCAATAATGACTTCAAAAAATAAAAACAGCTATAATACATATGCACAGAGCTTGGTTGCAGGCAAATAATGAATGAAGACAAATTTATGGTAGAAAATTCCCACGGAATATAAAAGTCAACTTGCATGCCAATATTTCATGAGCATTTAAATTGATGAATGTTTGCGAGCCAACTTGCAAATAAAATATTTAAAGCCCTCCTATTCTCCATATGTGAATACTTTATAAGCTGATACTTTCTGGATAGCTCGACATTAAGAGAAGCAATGATGGCTAGATATAACAGCGATGAAAATGTGTTATTTTCAACTGGGCATTTGCTTACAAATGCAGTTTTTGATCATCATCACAATCATCAGTTAGATTTTAATAAAATTTCTAGCTGAAGTGGCAATCCGAGAGAGAATGAACATTGATATCACACAGTAATTGTGTCATTTAAATGTTTCTCTTACATAATGGGAAACCCCACCATATCGATTGTTTTTTCAAATTACATTAGAGCCATTTTTTAGAATTCATACATGCGTGTATGTTTGCACACCATTAACTTTAACGTAACTCCCAAACAAAATATCCGACACTTTCACAACCTTTTTTGTGTCTAACAAAATGTTTATCCTTTTAGCGACATTTGCTTTTTCCCTTGTTTTAGGTAAGACAAAAAAGCGTTCTCGTTTTGTGGCGGTAAAATTTTATTGTCTGTAAGATTATCATGGGGCATGACAACCAAATTGAAAACTAAAAAACCCTGAAAAGTATTTCCATTGAGTTTACACGCAGGTGGATCAGTGTTAGTACAAGAAAGTGGTTTTGTTATCCGCTTTATTAAGTAAATGAAAGAATTTGTCCATTTAGATAGGGGATTCGCATACAGTTTTCCTACACATTATTTGTTCAATAAATTATCTTTGGAATATTACCCCATTGAAGCCAATAATGTTTAAAGGCAAGTAATCCATTTTCTATGATTTACGGCATTTCCATTGTTAATGTAAGGTAATTACAAAATGGTCAGTTTTAATTTAAACCATAAATATATTGGACGGTAAAAATATAAAATGAAGCAGCATTTGCGATTCAATGCGTTTTATGTGTTAGCGGTGTAACAATATTTTAAATTTAATTATATTTATATATTAATACAGGCTCGTAATAAATTTGAATTGAATTATTTCTGACAAGTATAATCCACTACAATTGTTGGCACTTAATTTTCAATAATAACTAACGTGTTTTTTTGAGTTAATTCGTTTTTTTTTCAATTTGGAGTTTTTATATCCGGGAATATGCAAATACAAGTTCCAATCTAAGAGGTGTCATTCTCCACATTAAGATTCACTCAAAGACATTAGTAATAAATTTAATCTGAAGATTTAATTAATAAGTTAACCATAGTGACATAATTTATCCACAAATATATTATTATTTGCCCCAACCATAATTGCATAGATATGTTTTTGTAAAACTTCTCCTAGTCGCTTTACTCTAATACGTTTTTTTTTTTCGTGAAGCAGCAGAATGAATAATGTTCGATTCCAATGTGAACTGATGAAAATATCAAATACAAAAGCGATATCACATTCCCTGCATTTCCTATCCGGACATTTTCGATATTACAGATTGGTCTCCATTAGTACTAATATACGCTTGTAATGTATTCGAATTTTTCTGATGGGCATAATATATTACAGTGGCAAACAATTAATTTTCAAAAACCCGATATAAATACCAATTTGCTCGTTCAATGGAACGATGCGCTAGCGTTTCATTTTGAAAATAAATGTATTTTATAACAGATCTATACTAATATATGGAGGTAATAAAGTGGACGTATATGTACTAAAACTGTCCAATAAACCATCGTTTATTATTAAAAAGGAATGGGTGAAATCTGAGTTTGTATTAATAGTGCAGTGAAAGAGCAAAAATTGATTCATACTACACGCTTCAAAACAGTTTGCCACAGAAAAACCCCTAGGTACTGTGTTAAGTGTTACTGACTTTAAATAAATTTGATAAAAATCAAACCAAAAAAATTTTAAAAACACGATCAAGAACCCAGAAAATTCCTCGTCGTTCCGCGTCGAATAAATATTAAATGCAACAATATTATAAAATACAATTCAACAATGTGGGACTAAAAGTTCTACATCTACATGACAACCAGGGGCTAACTTACCGAAAGCTGCTTCGTGCCACCTGGAAAGAAAGAAAACATGTGATTAGTACAGCAGGAAACCTATTCAAAGCTATTGTTATAGGAAATCAGAAATGCAAAGAGTAAAAATGCATCAACTTCAGTTGCTTTTCCGACTACTGAACCCAGTTCAAGCTAAAAGATTTATAGATTAGAATTTATTTTTACCAGCTTTCTGCAAGCTGGCGCAACATCGCCCATTATCTACGTCCTCCTATATCCTCAAAAAATTCACACTACACACAATGAAAATCCACTCCGCATTAAAAAAACTAATCCTGCAGTTAACAAGTAAGATAAACTAGCCCGGTTCCCTTAAGGGCCACAACGATTCTAGATTTTCCATCTAAGAGCGCAATTCAGCCGATACAAAGAACTGGCGACCAATTTCGTCCATTACTTGGAACAAACTGAATTTCTTTGTGAAAAAACTCATGCTATATCGAAAATTTACAGATCCAACATATAATCGTTTGCTCGACAGCCCTTTATATGACTCATTGCAGTGCGATTTCAATTTGTTTATTGTCGACTATTTTTTGTAGAAAGTGCGTGTTCGCAAGCCAATATTTTCAAAGACAATTTTCACGTTGTCTTGTTTGGATGATCCATGTAAGCAAAATAGCCAAATAATATAAACA